GCTGGGAGTTGGAGACTGGAGCTGTTCCTATTCGGCCATCTTGCTCCGCCCCCCCAGTTTTTGTATTTTTAGTAGAGATGTGGTTTCACTGTGTTGGCCAGGCTGGTCTTGAACTCCTGACCTCAAGTAATTCACCCACTTCAGCCTCCCAAAGTGCTGGGATTACAGGTGTGAGCCACTGCACCCATCGCCCTCCCTTGATCTGAAATGGGAGTTTCTCAATCAGAATGTTTCTAGTGGACAATGGGAGGCAAACATGGGCGAGAAGGAAGTACAGAGTTAGGCTTCAGAGGCTGTGTGTTTTGGCTTTTCCTCCTCTCCCTGTACCTGACTTTGCCAAGTGCCACTTGTTCAAGCAGTGTGTCCCTTGGCAGTTCCGTTCCAAGCATAGAAGAATTATTAGGGACAGTGGCAGCAGGAATTCTTCTGCCCTAATGAAGTGCCAGGGTCTAGTGGTGGCAGGTTTCTGGCTAGAATAGATCCCCCGGGTTGCCCCTTCACTCCCTTTGAGAGTGGCTGGTCTCAGGGTGCCGTGGGAAAAGTGAGAGAGGTGACCTTGGCTTTAGCCCTCCTTTCCCACTGTGATAGTTGTGTTTTTTGTTGGGTTTCCTCTTTATCTCACCTCCCATCCCCTTCAGAACACAGGGTAGGCCTTGCACCCTGAAGGTCAGACAAAGAAAAAGAATATGTTATTATATAAATGTAAAAAGCCGTAAGGTCTTCTAGCTCACTGAGCATGGCTTGGTTCTAAATGTATAAAGCTAGAACACTAGGAATTTAGAAGTATTCTGGACACATCCGGGCTCTGGCAGCTCCCTGGCCCTCTGAAATCCTCACATGCCCTGAAAATCGCCCTGCATAACGGAAACTGGCAAACACTTATCAACACTGGTAGACTGAGGCCTCTAGCCATGCTTGCTGCTTCCCAGGAAATCTGCTTTCGGGGATCAACAGTATGAATGAAATGTACTTCCTGAAATGAGATTCCTGAAAATCTGCCCTGTTTTGAATTTTTCCTAGACCGTCTACCACACTGCATTGCTTGAGGGCAGGTGCTAGTGTTTATATTTGAAGAGTAAATGCCCCTAAAGGCTGGCTTTAAAGTAGTCATTACAGGAAACAGTCACTGGGTGGCACAATTTATTCATACCCAAGCTTTGGCTACTCTGGCCAACCACAGCTTTAGCAGAGGTACTGTTGTGTAAATTAGAGTGGAATGTGCCGGAATAAATACGAGGGGCTTTGTGTGTCATCACCTCTTCCTCCTTATCCTGTACTCCCAAGACAAATCCCAAGCCCTGCAAAATCCCTCTGCTGAAGGTACTGTCTTAGGTGGGCAACACCAAACAGAGAGGTTGGAGGTGGGAGTTCTATCCTCAGGAGGTGTCAAAACCAGGCGACTTTCCAAATCCCCTCCAGCCCAGAGGCTCCACCGTCCTTTGGGTTTTCCAGGTCTGGTTTAGCTGTAGGGGAGCTAACCTAGATCTGGAGACTGTGGCCCCATCCAGATGGGATCCAGATACTCTAGGCCCCAAATGAGAAACCTGTTTACTGAGCACATCCTCCCTATCTCCCTCAGCCCCAGGACAATCCAGCTTTTTCCAGCTGCTTCCAGGCACCTGAGACCAGCTCGGGTCACCAGAGCTGGAGGTGGAACATAGGCATTTCTCCGTAGGTATGTGCCTAACTAGAGCTAAGTTTCAAGCCTGGCCTCCAGGCTACTGTGGAGACCCCGTCTGTGGCGTGCCCACCCAGGGCTGCCAGTCGGCCCCAGGCTCTCTGAAGGAAGGACTGTGGAGAACGGGCTTGTTCATACGACCTTTTGTTTACAAGCAGAACCAGTGAGAGGAATTATAGGGCGTGGTTTGCTGATGTCTTCATTTGTCTTTTCTTCCCAACCCCAGTGAACGACCTGAAGAATGCAGCCCCCTGTGCAGTCAGCTACCTGCTCTTTGATCAGAATGACAAGGTCATGCAGCAGAACCTGGTGTATTACCAGTACCACAGGGACACTTGGGGCCTCTCGGATGAGCACTTCCAGCCCAGACCTGTAAGTCTGGTGCACCACACCTTCCCTTTTCTCTTCATTCTCGCCTTCTGGAGACTACCTTGTACCTTAAGAGAAAGGGTTATTTTGGAAATAAAGGGGCTGGGTGCGGTGGGTCACGCCTGTAATCCTGGCACTTTGGGAGGCCGAGGCAGGCAGATCATGATGTCAGGAGTTCGAGACCAGCCTGGCCAACACAGTGACACCCCGTCTCTACTAATACAAAAATTAGCCAGGCGTGCTGGCACGCGGCTATAGTCCCAGCTACTTGGGAGGGTGAGGCAGAAGAATCACTTGAACCCGGGAGGCAGAGGTTGCAATGAGCCAAGATTGGGCCCCTGCCCTCCAGCCTGGAGATAGAGCGAGACTCTGTCTGAAAAAAAAAAAGGAAGTAAAGGAAAAGTCATTTTTTTCTGTAGTTTTGCGCGTGTGTGTGTTGTAACATTTTACTGCTTCATTCTGATTTCTGAATCTGTAAAAACTCTACAAATTTCGATCATTGCAGAAATATTTTACTTGGAAAGCAAAATTCTCTCGTAATCTTACACCTTCTCACTCTCTTTTTTTTTGAGACAGATTCTTGCTCTGTCGCCTAGGCTGGAGTGCAGTGGCGTGATATCGGCTCACTGCATCCTCCGCCTCCTGAGTTCAAGCCTCCCGAGTAGCCTCCCGAGTAGCTGGGATTACAGGCATACACCAACACATCAGGCAAATGTTTGTAGTTTTAGTAGAGATGAGGTTTCGCCGTGTTGGCCAGGCTGGTCTCGAACTCCTGACCTCAGGTGATCTACCCACCTCAGCCTTTCAAAGTGCTAGCCACTGCGCCCAACCTGTGCCATCTCTTTATCCCCTGCTTTAAAGGTATATATTTACTCATATATATAGTAAATATTTGTGTATTTTTATAAAAAAAAGATCATATTTACATAGTCCTACAACTTTTTGCAACTTACTTTGTCTTTCTAACAATTAGTCGTGAATATTTCTCCATGTCACATCCATGTAACTTCTTAATTATTATCCTTTAACAGCTCCCTGGTAGTCTCTTTTGTGGATGGACCATCATTTAATTCCCTTGATAGGCAAACTCACCACTTAGCATGTGTTGTTAGCAAACCCCATTCATCATATATTACTTTCAAAAGATTTTTCCTAATTGATCTTTGCTCTTTACTTGTATGTTCATTGGGATTTCTATATGCCATCTTGATTTTCATAAATTTGTCTTCCACTGAGGGCTGGCCACTCTTTTTTTTAAAAAAATCGTGATATAATTTATATAGGATAGAATTCACCATTTTAAAGTGTACAGTTCAGTGGTTGTTAGTATATTCAGAGTTGTACAGCCATTACCACTATCTAATTTTAAACATTTTCATCACCTTAGACAAACCCCATATCCTGTTCCTCCCTCCTCCCAGTTCTAAGATGAAAACGTTGGTCCTATAAACTGTTCTGTGTTGTGTCTGAACAGGAAGCAGTTCAGTTCTTTAACGTGACCACACTCCAGAAGGAGCTATATGACTTTGCTAAGGAAAATATAATGGATGATGATGAGGTAAGTTTTCATGCTTAGCACATGTCTGGTGGCTAAGAGAAAATATTGCTCACATCTTTGCTAAAAATCACTGGAAGGCCGAGTCCTCCCTGAAGTAAGAAACAGAGGGGACCTTGAGAAGGACAGTTACTGTGGGTGTTTCAGTGACAGCCAGAACGCTGGCATGGGAAAGAGCGGCTTTCTAGGAAACCCAGGCAGGAGTGCCACATTTCCTGATAGTGAAACGGGTGTGGGGCGACGCTCCAGGAATTCACAGTGGTCACTCTTCATCTTTGCACTTTATATAAAAACGGTGAATTTTTAATTGCTCAGCACTCTGAAGATGCATGGATACTCCCACCCCAATTTTTCTATTAGACTATTGCTATTATTATTTTTTCTAAATTGCATCTTTACTGTAAGCATTTTCTCATTCTCTAGAATTGCTTGAAATTCCTGATTTCACCTTACTCAGCTGACCCCTTTTCTGACCCCAATTCATCTGGTTATGGAGTGGTCATTTTGTGGTGGGGCCGCCTGGTCACAGAAAAGCCATCATTAGCGGTAGTATTTAGAGAGATGTGTTTAGAACAAACAGGAAAATGCTTACTGAGAAAGCTGGGGACGTGTCAGCTATTGGAGCTCTGAGAGAGCTGTGAGCTTGCTCTGGTCTGATCCTTTGCTTTGTAGATGAGGAGCATGGGGCCAGCAAGTTTCCTGAGCCTCCAGGTCTGCTCTTCCTATACCCTGGTTTTAGGTGAAGCACCTCTGAATAAGACATCTTCATGGAATTGGTTTTCTGTCTACAAATATGTGTGGGATGAACTCATCACTGGTATTAAACAACTGAGCCTCAGTTCTTTATCCATAAAATGGGAATAATAATACTGCCCTCCCAGGGTTGGAGAATAAAATACTGTGTTGCATGTGGAAATGCTTTCTAAACTGGAAAGTGATGCACATGCCTGTGTCTTGGGTTGGGTATCCTTGAAGCAGAGCCTGAGACAGGATCCCAAGATGCCACCGGGGCCATTCCCCCATTCCCTAAAGGGAGGAACACCAGCCAGATACCAACAAGATTGGCCACTGTGGTTTGGAAAGTATAGCAGAGGCTGAGTGTACTGGCTCACGCCTGTGATCCCAGCATTTGGGAGGCCAAAGCAGGTGATTGCTTGAGTCCAGGAGTTCAAGACGAGCCTGGGCAACATGGCGAAAACTTGTCTACAAAAAATACAAAAAAATTAACTGGGTGTGGTGGAGTGCACCTGTAGTCCCAGCTACTTGGGAGGCTGAAGGAGTCTGGGGAGGTTGAGGCTGATATTGCGCCATTGCATTCCAGACTCGGCAATTGGAGTAAGACCCTGCCTCAAAAAAAAAATAAATAAATAAAAGGAAAGTATAGAAAAATATATTTAGAGGCAGGGCACGGTGGCTCAAGCCTGTAATCCCAGCACTTTGGGAGGCCGAGACGGGTGGATCATGAGGTCAGGAGATCAAGACCATCCTGGCCAACACGGTGAAACTCCATCTCTACCATCTCTACTAAAAAAATACAAAAAAACTAGCCGGGCGAGGTGGCGGGTGCCTGTAGTCCCAGCTACTCGGGAGGCTGAGGCAGGAGAATGGCGTAAACCCGGGAGGCGGAGCTTGCAGTGAGCTGAGATCCGGACCACTGACCTCCCCGGCCCTGGGCGACAGAGCTGAGACCGTTCCGTCTCAGAAAAAAAAAAAAAAAAAAAAATATATATATATAATATATATATATTATTTAGACAAAGGTAGGAGAGCTGAGTTCCCAGTTATCTAGAGGCAGGCTACTATGATGTTGTTGGTATATTCTTTCCATTGTTTTTTATGATTAAAAAAGAAAATATTTATAGTTTTAAATTTATGTTTTTCTATATATTTATTATAAACTCAGCTATAATTATGTCTCATGACTTTTTCACTTGATATTATAATATGAGCAGTTTCTCTTGTTATATTTTTCTAAACCAGCTTTATTTAGATGTTATTCACATACAGTAAAGTGCTCCTTTTTAAAGTATATAATTCAGTGGTACTTACTATATCCACAAAATTTTGAATCCATCACTGTTATTTAACTTTAGAACATTTTTATCGCCCCCAAAAGAAACTCCATCGCTAAGTCACTTCCCATTTCTCCTTCGGGCCAACGTTCCCACTCCTGCCTCCACCTCTAGCCCCTGGAATATCCTAATCTACTTTCAGTTTCTGTTGATTCGCCTGTTGTGGACATTCCATATAAATGGAATCATAGGGTATGTGGTCTTTTGTGAGTGGCTTCTTTGACTGAGCATATGTTTTCAAAGTTCAGCCATGTTGAACATGTTACCTGTAAAATTTCCTTTGTACTACCAAGTAATATTCTTCTGTATGGATATATCACGTTCTGTTTCTCCTTTCTTCAGTTGATGGATGTTTGGGTTGGTTCCAGTTTTTGGCTATTTTGAATAATGATGCTATGACCATTTGTGTACAAATTTTTGTTTGAACATAAGCTTTCCAGTTTTTTTTTTTTATACCTAGGAGTATATACATAGGTATCATGTTAGGCCATTTTTGCATCACTGTTAAGAAATACCTGGCTGGGTGCAGTGGCTTATGCCTGTAATCCCAGCATTTTGGGAGGCCAAGGCAGCAGGATTGCTTGAGCCCAGGACTAGCCTGAGTAACATAGTGAGACTCTGTCTCTACAGAAAATTTAAAAATTAGCTGGGCATGGTGGCACAGGAAGTGTGGCAACGGCATCTGCTCGGCCTCTGGTGACGTCTCAGGAAGCTTATGGTCATGGCAAAGGGGGAGCTGGCATATGTCACATGGCAAGAGCAGTGCCACACTCTTTTAAACAACTAGATCTCGTGTGAACTCAGAGTGAGAACTCACTTATTATCATGAGGAGAGCACCAAGACATTTTTGAGGCATCTGCCCCCTGACCCGAATACCTTCCACCAGGCCCCACTTCCAACACTGGAGATTACATTTCAACTTGAGATTTGGAGGGGACAAATATCCAAACCAAATCAGGTACATACCTAGGAATGGAATTGCTGGGCCATATGGTAACGGTTTAACCTGTTGAGAAACTGCCAGACTGTTTTTCAAAGTGGCTGTACCATTTACATTCCCATCAGCAGTGTATGAGAGTTCCAACTTTGCAATGTCTTCAACAAAACTTAATATTGTCTTTTTTATTAATAGCCATGCCAGTGGATGTAAGTAGTATTTCATTGTGGTTCCAACTTGCACTTTGTTTGTTTGTTCGTTTGTTTGTTTGTTTTGAGACAGAGTTTCACTCTTATTGCCCAGGCTGGAGTGCAATGGTGCGATCTTGGCTCACTGCAACCTCTGCCTCCCAGGTTCAAGCAATTCTCTTGCCTCAGCCACTGTAGCTGGGATTACAGGTGCGCACCACCATGCCCAGCTAATTTTTTGTATTGTTAGTAGAAATGGGGTTTCACTATGTTGGCCAGGCTGGTCTCGAATTCCTGACCTCAGGCGATCCACCCGCCTCAGCCTCCCAAAATGCTGGGATTACAGGTGTGAGCCACTGCGCCCAGCTTGATTTGCACCTTCTTAGTGACTAATTATGTTGAGCATCCTTTCATGATTGGCCATTTGTATATCTTTGAAGAAATGTCTATTCAAATCTTTTGTCCACTTTAAAATTGTTATTTATCTTTTTATTATTGTGTTGTAGAAGTTCTTTAGATATTCTAGTTATAAGTTCCTTATCAGATATATGAATTGTAGATATCTTCTCACAATCTGTGGGTTTTTTCACTTTCTAAATGGTGTCTTGAAGCACAAGTTTTCAAATTTGATGAAATTCAATTTATCTGTTCTTTCTTTTGTTGCTTTTGTTTTGTGTGTTATATCTAAGAAACCATTGCCTAATCCAAGGTCACAAAGATTTACTCCTGATTTTTACTGCTATGATTTTTATAGTTTTATCTCCTGCATTTAAATTTACAACCCATTTGAGTTAATTTTATGTATGATATTAGGAAGAGGTCTAGTTTCATTCTCTTGAACGTGAATAGCCAGTTGTTACAGCACTATTTGTTGAAAAGACATTTTCACCATTGAATTGTCTTGGTACCCTTGAAATAAATCATTATTTTGTCAAATGCTTTTTCTGCATCTATTGAGATGGTCACATGATTTTTGTTTCCCTTATTAGTTAATATTCATTATAAACATGACTTTTTAGTGACTACTATTATATGATATAGAATTTTTAGAAATATAGCCTTTTTGTAGGCATTTAGTTTGCTTCTAACTTTTTTGCTTTTACAAATAGCATAGCAGGGACTAAATTGTTTACTTCTTCTCTAATCATTTCCTTAGAAAAAATTCCCAGTGGTGAAATTCCTGGTCTAAGGCTGTGAACACTTTGAAGACTTCTGATGTATAAGAACAACATATATAGAAAGCAAATCGTAGATATTAGAACACGAAGAGATTTTTCACAGGATTCAGTAAAGCTCTCTCATGTCACAGATAAGGAAACAAACTCAGAAAGATAGAGTGCCTTGCTCATAGTCACACAGAGGGTTAGTAATCATCTAATGAACACACCAAGCTTATTGCAGGCTTTAAAATTCCTAGGATTCTTGGATTTGGCACTTTCAAGATAAAAGGACTTTGTTGAAGGTTCTGGAGTAGTTTGCTTATTAATTGAGGCTTTAGAATTGTGAAAGAACTAATCCATCTCTAAAGAATGAACCATTTTCTTACCATATACCAAATTATGGCAAGTAATACTCTGAAATGAAAATATAACCAAAATCATAAAATTCTTAGTTTAATCCTTCCATTTTCCAAAGGACATACTACTACTTTACCTGCTGATATGTGTGGCATTCTTCCTTGTTGTCTTTCTGGCATTGAAATGTGTATAAGCACTCCTGAAAGTCTACACACTGGTTCAAAATTTTGCAGAGGTTTATTACAGTTTCAGAAACTTTTTAAAACAGGCTGAAATAGATGCTTCAGGTTTCAAGTTCTGATGGTTGTTTGCTTCAGGGAAGTCCAAAGAAACAGAATATAATTTGTTGGAAGGATTTATTGAGGGAGTGCTTTCAGGTAAGAACAGAATGAGGATCAGAGGAAGGAGCTCAACAAAGATGTGGTCTCAGCTGGAGTCAAGCTTCGCCTGCTCCCACGGGGGACTCTGGAGCATGAATTGCACCGCAGAGTTGTTCCTGCCTTTTATAGTCCCCCTTATCAGTCTGTCATTCATTCTTTGTTGTCAGGAGGGGCTGGTGGGTAACCTCTCTGGCAAGACTGCTGTTGTTTTTTTGTTGTTGTTGTTTGGCCAAAGGCAATTGCCCAGAGATGGGGCAGCTGCTAGCCATTAGCAAACAGCCCTCGCGGGAGTTGGGGATGGGTGCGCTGGGAAGGAGATCTGAGCGAGGCCCCAACAGTATTCACTACAACAGCCATGCAGGGGATGCAGTTCTTTCCTCTGTGCTGCCTCGGGCACTCGTTACTAGTGAGCTAAAAGCAAATAATACCATCATCCCACAAGTCACAACAGACACACAGCAGGATATAGTAACTCCCTAAGCAGAAGTTATGGCTATACACATAATCCCTCTACTATGCTGTGTTTTCCTTTTGGGATCTAGAAAGCAACTGAAAAACACTTTTTCCAAGCCATAGTGTTCTACTGTTACAATTTGAGTTTCTAATCTCAGGCATGACATAGTAGAAGTATTTGATGATAATACTAAGACTCCCATTTGTGTCTCATGTACTTGATAGATTTTCCAGTTATTCCCAAATGCTGCAAGATTTTTATAAATTTCTCTGTGTTAAAACATCAAAAGGAGCCAACAGGCTCTTGACCTGGGATGGTGAGCTCAGTGAAGGGGTCGAGCTTTAGCCGGGGTGGTGGGGCCGGTCTGTGCTGACTCTTATGGAAGGTGCCTCAGCCTTGGTCATTCACTCATTCTTTGCCGAAAAGAGAATGGGTGTCATCAGCTGGTGGTCCAGGAGGGTTATAGGAGAGAAGTCAATGCGGAGAAAGAAATTGGGAAGGGTGCTGGGCTGCTTCAAGTTGAAGTGTAAGGCTGATTGCAGGAGGGAGCAGGTGAGCTCCTGGTACCGACACTGGGCAAGTGGATCCCACTGTCCCTGTGTGTCTCTCCTGTAAGAGGGGTGATTGCTTCAGTCATACCAGCAATGTGTATGCATGCACTCAGTCATTCATTCTTCAGCATATTTATTAAGCACCTTCTGTGTGCTGGGCTCTGGAGAAGAAGAATCAACCCAGGCCCTGGTCCTTGAGAAGTTTGTGTTCTGGTGGTCAAGGCAGAAAGGGAACAGATAGAAAGTGTTCCTGTGGGAGACCTGCATGTGAGAGGGGAGGAAGAGGAGTAGGCAGAGATGCACACAGGAGGGGCACTTGGTAGAGCCGTTCACAGGCTGGGCTGTCTGCCTCACAGAGCATGTTGGCGGATCTCGCAGAGCACTTGATAGCAAGTTCAAATGGAGTGAAAGCCGAGGTCCCCTCCACAGGGAGAAATCAGGTCCTCTGGGCCCCAGACCAGCAGAGAAAACCTGTTTCAGCCAAAGCAGACAGTGGCAATGGCCTCTCGGGATACTGTTTCTGCTCATCAGCACTTTTAAAAGTCCAATGAGCCCATTTAACAAAGTTGTCCTGTTGTCTCTCACAGGGAGAAGTTGTGGAATACGTGGATGACCTCTTAGAACTGGAGGAGACCAGCTAGCCCGCAGCAACCTAAGAGACTTCCTCCTGACGTTCAGGAAACACAGATTCTTCGTCCTTTTCCCAACAGCCCAGGCTGTTGATACCTCAGAGCCTTCCCTTTACTCTCCGAAGTGAAAGGGAAGCCCCCATCTCTCTCACTACATGTCACCAGGGGTGAGCCTGCCTTTCCCGTCTTCACACCTGCCACCTCGTGTTCACACCTATCTTTCTTACCTTCTTTTTGAGATGGAGTCTCGCTCTGTCGCCCAGGCTGGAGTCCTTTGGCACGTTCTCGGCTCACTGCAATCTCTGCCTCCTGGGTTCAAGCGATTCTCCTGCCTCAGCCTCCCAAGTACCTGGGATTACGGGCATGTGCCACCACGCCTGGCTAATTTTGTATTTTCAGTAGAGACGGGGTTTCGCCATGTTGGCCAGGCTGGTCTTGAACTCTTGACTTCAGGTGATCCACCTGCCTTGGCCTCCCACAGTGCTGGGATTACAGGTGTGAGCCACCGTGCCCGGCCTCTTTCTCACCTTTACACCTGTCTTCTTATCCTCACATCTGTTTTCACACCTTCACCCCTGTCTTTCTCATGTTCACACTTGTCTTCCCCGTGTTCATACCTGCCTTTCTCACCATTTTGGTTTGAAGGACAGTCTTCTCTGGCTTGTTTTTTTGTTTTGTTTCTTTTTTTTTCCCCCAGAAAATCAGTATTATTTTTTAAATAAGAAAAACATTCCTAAAAGATGATAATTGTGAAAACCTCCTTTGGCTTATTTGCTCTTCCAGATTTTAGTCTCCTTTCTCCCCATCCAGGAAAGATGGTGGAAGACAAAGGCTAAATTTCTCCAGCCTCACAGTGGTCTTCACTTGGTCTGACTTGTACCAATTCTAGTACCCACTGAAAAACAGGTTGAGTAGAGAGTGTAGAGTACAGAAATGTGGCTTTTGCCCCACTTCGCATCTCCAAAATTACAACGGTTGGCCAATCCCATTTGGGGACAATGCTTAGTTATAAGTCTCCGAGATGGAAAAAGAAGAAAGTCAGAGCTGTCTAGTTTCATTTATTCTTTCAGTAAATGTTTATTGAGTACCTACTGTGTGCCAGGCATTGACCAGGGAACTACAGATACTTCACCGAATAACGGGAAAGTTCCCTGTGCTCATGGAGCTTACATTCTACAGGGAGAAAGAGATAGCCAATACATAGGAATAAATATATACAAGGTATCATATAGTGATAATTGCTATGGAGAAAAATAAAGCAGGGGAGGGAGTAAGAAATCCTAGAGATGAGGCTGCAGTTTTAAATGGGGCCTCACTGGGAAAGTGACATTAGAGCAGAGATGGGAAGTGGATCCTGGCCAAGGCATTCGAGGCAGAGGAACAGGATGTGCAGTGCCCCTGCTCTGCATGGTCAGGGAAGAGCAGGGAGACCCAGCAGAGTCATGGGCAGGGGAGAATGGAAGGAGAGACGGCTGGAGAGGAGGTCAGGTGGTGGAGGGCCTTGATTTGGCTTCTGCTGAGTGAGATGGGAGCCACTGGAGGGTTTGAACAGAGGAGTGCCTTGATTGATTTATATTTTGCAAGGGTCATTCTAGCTGCCATATTGTGAAAAACTTTAGTGGACAAGGGCAGAAGGAAGAGGGAAGACCTGTTAGGAAGCTGCTGCAAGATTCCAGTCTTGGGCCTGGGCCACAGCAACAGCAGTGGCCAAATCTCTAGATTTATTTTGAAAGCAGAGCCAATAGGATTTGCTGAGAGGTTGAATGTGCAGTGTAAGAGAAGGAAGAGTTAATGATGACATTAAGGTTTTCGGCCTGAATAGCAGGAAAGATGGAGTTACCAGTTACTGAAACGGAAGGATGGGCTGGGTAAGTAAGGAATTTGGTGCAAAGCAGGCTGTCTGTGGTTGGAATGGGAGGTTCTGGCTGCAAATCAAAGTGGAGAGTTTTCTCAGGTCAGGTCTGCAGCAGAGCTCGAGACAGGGATCTGAATGCACTTGGTTTATTGTGGGGGGTGCTCTCGGAACCTGTGAAAGCCTCTATCAGTCATTTATTCGCTGTGAGAAGTTCTCTGGGAGTGCTGGTACATTTGAAGGCAAGTCGCTTCAGTTGAGGGCAAGTCTCTGGAAAAGAGGCTGTAGGCATCTGGCAACTACCATGCATGGTAGTGTGTTGGTGGGTGTGGGGTCCTGGGAACTGGCTCTGTGAAGGGATCTGGCAGGGCCCCACAGCGCCCCCTACTGAACCATCAGCATGTCAGTGGCATTTAAAGCCATGCGGCCGGAGGGGCCACTGAGATTGTCTCTGAGTATTACGGAGAAGCAACAGAAAAGAGCCATGGATGGAGCCCTTGGGCTCTCTGGGAAATCGGAAATCAGCCAAAGAGACTGAGAAGGAGTTACCTTAAGGTCAGAGAACACCAAGAGAGTGTGGTGTTCTGGAAGCTGAGCTTTCTTTATTCAGGCTCATTCCCTTCCCCAAAGAAGCCACTTGCGTAGTTGGGCCCCTCCAGGGTTGAAGGCAAGAGGAGAAAGGCACAGCGTTTGGGAAACAAGGCTTCTCCTGCAGTAGCCCGGGAAGGAATAAAAGGATAGAGTGTTGGGGTTTTTGTGTAATGGTGGTTAATTGGGGTGGAACACTCACACACTGTGCTTTTTCTGGGCTTTCCTTATCCCTCAGAACACTACCAACCTCGGGGAACTCGGGCACATCCTTCTGTTTCTCCTTCAGTTCTATCCTGCTTCCCTTATCCCTCTGACACCATGTCCTCACTCACCTGCACAAGAATCCCTGCATCAGGTTCTCTTTTGAGGGTGCCCAACCCAGGACAGTCCCCTACCACTTCTGTCTTGGGCTGAAGTCGCCCATGTCCGCAGAGTCTGTACTCCCAGCGGGGGTGTTTGACCCGAAGAGTCAGTGTTATTATTGGTGCATGCACCATGTCCACAGCAGCCCCCCAGTCCCAGCGATGCCTCAGATCTTATGTGGCTTCCTGCTGGGGGAGATGGCCGTTGCCCACGGGATGCCGGGTTCTCCTTTATTTCCTCACCCCACCCTCTACTCCACCAGAGAAACTTCCTTTTGAACTCAGTGGGGAAGAGGGTGATGAGACAGGACTAGAAAGTAGTGGAGGACCCAGCGAGTGGACGCCCTGCTCCGGGATTCCTGAGTCTGTAAATAGTGTGCCCAGCAGCTGTGAACTCCCCTTATAGCCCTGGGCTGCAATGTCCTTCCCAGCTGTGTGAGACAATGAAAGCCGACGTCCACAGGGACCCAGGCTGGGTTGGGTGTTGTGACTTACTCCACCTCTGTGCCCTGCAGAGGTCCCGTTGGGTCCTTGTCTTGTGAGCTTGGGGTGAGCTTTCTGTACATGATGTTGTTCCACATATGGGTTGAGTTGGCATGGTAGCGGGTCCTCGTTTACTCTCTGAAGTTGGCCTCCTTTCACTGGGGATTGAAAAGCACCTCCACCCCTACCCTAGCGATGTCGCCTGAGGACCCTGGTGATAGTACAGTCAATATTGTCAGTACTTTGCTTTGATTGAAGGCTGTGGAGCTGAGTTACCAAAATTTCTATTTCAAAGGAAACCAAACCTTAAAAAAAAAAAAAAAAAGTGGGCTGGTTCTTCCAAACCTACCGTGAAACCCTGATGTGCAGGCTGCACTCAATGACCTCAACCCAACACCTCCCTGTGTTTCTTGGAAGAGCCTAGAAGATTCCTGGATTGAGACCCCATTGGTTCAGCCTCAGTCTGGCCTGTCTTGAAAAAAACAAACACATTTGTAAGCTTTGTGGGAGCTTCCAGGCCCGCTGTAAGACGCCTCGCTTGTCCTTTGACCCATCAGCATGGAGTTCAGTGGTTGCTCTTTGGTTCTGCAGGCTGGTGGGGAGGCCGCCCATCGTGGTGGGGCATCTGTCCAGCCCCATTGCCACTCAGGGCATCCAAGCAGGAGGCACCCGCTGGGAAGGGTCTAAAGATACTCCTTGTGGCCACTGCTACTGTTCACATTTGACTTGCGGAGAAGTGAAGGGCTGAGGGGAGGTTTGTGTACACACATGTAATTAAAAGTGACTAACTGACCGAAGTGAGCACATACCAACATATGCAACATACTAATATCTTCCTGATTTTTGAGACTTTCTAATTACTACAACTAACCTGTTGTGCTCACCTCTGGAATTCAGAAAGAGAGCCACTGCGAGCACTGACCACAAGGGCTGCCTTAGGAAGGAAATGTGTGCTTTCAGTTCTTATTAGGGGAATTTTAAGAGCACAAAAATTTTATTGAACCCACCTCAGTGGCAAACAGAAAATGATTTGTTAGATTGTCAGTGCGAAGGGGTTTATTATGACTGCTGGTGAAATAAACAGTGACCGGTTTCTGCCAACATTTATGGAAATAACGTTTCTAAGTTTTAAATGTGAGCTGTAAACCGAAGCCACTTCAGTTTAAAAAAAAAAAATCAATACTTAAACTGTAGGGAAAAGGTGGATCGGTGCCAGAGAAAACATTATTTAATAGTGTCGGAACATGGAACTGCAACACAGTTTGTAGCAAGGCACTGAGAAAAACCCACAACTAATCCTTCATCGCAGCTGTCTGAACTCTTGATCATCTGCCATCCCCCAAACAGGGACTTCTTTTTTTCTGGTGACTCCAGGCCTGAATGACCTAGTGTGGAGAGTTTAAACTATGTACAAGGGAGGAAAGAAAAAACGGAAAGGAACCTTAAGTAAGCCTCAGCCAAAGGTTTTATGCATGGGACTTCCTGTGCCTGCAGCCAGGGGCAAGACCGATCCCCATGCCTGTCCCCATGACATCTCCCTGAAAGAGAAGACACCATGACAGCCCGGCTTTGCCTTGACTGACCCACTCGTACCCCAGAAATAAGAATCAAGAGCAGCCATGGTTATCCTTGGCCGGCCACATATCCTGGCACCTGACACTGTCCCCACACAAATAGCTGACTTTCGTTGCTTGTTGAATGAATGAGTTGGCTGTATATCCTCTTGGAGCTAGCAGGTAAGATATTAGTGCCTCATTTTATAAGAAGAGAATAGGAAGGAATTAAGCAATTTGGCCAACAGACATAAGATAAAGATTCCAGGGTTTTATCTCCCACTTTAGGGTGGCAGTCAGTAGGCCAAACTCCAAAGGCCACTGCTGATGTCGTTCTCTGCCTCCTCTCTTTGGGTTAGTGTGGTATGTACAAGCTCACTCTTGTTGAAAAATTAGAACTCAGAAAATAGTTGAAAACAAAAGCTTTTTGTTTTTTTACATCACATTAAATGTTTTACTTTGCTTATTCTCTATTTTCTATTCTATCCACTGGACAGGGATGTCTTCACCACATTCTAGAAGCTGTGTTATAATGAGCTCTGTTTTCTCAGGTCTGTGAAATTTCTGACATTCATCTAACAAAGTAGAAACTTCACACCAGGGACTCCTGGATCTCATGCAGGAGGACTGGTCCTTGCTAGCCATGAGCTGGCTGAGGTCCTGTCAGGCAGTAGAGGCTCATGCCTCTCCCCAGGAAGATTGTCTTTCAGAGGAGATCTGGAATCCCACTAGGAAAAACATTTGGAATCTGTTTCAAACAGGGACCCAACGCATCTTCAGGCGTGACTGTCAACAGCAACTATGCTCCATGCATGCCACTAAGGGGCAGGCAGGAGAAAGAATAGTAGAAGGAGGCAGGTGGAAAGAGTGAGGAACCAGCCAGCACAAAAAGAAGTCCATGTTATGGAGAGTTCAAACAGCTGTCTGAAGAAGAGGTGGAGGACATGGAGATGAGCCCAAGAATTCCAGAGGATGTGGTGAAAAAATCTGGACTGAGGAGGAGAGGAGGTGCAGGGAATAACAGTTGAGTTGATGGATGTCTTAGGTCAGAATCCTTTGAAGCAAGGGAAGTGATGGGGTGCTCTCAAGAGAAGGGGTGTGAGGGAAGCAGGAAGGAGCTAGTAAGGATGTGTCTTCAGTTGGAGACTGGCTTCAGCCTGATCTCATGGGAGCTCTGGAGCATGAATCACACTGGAGTTGGTCCCACCTTGAGGCAAGGAGGCCAGCCTTTTGCATTCCCATGACAGCTGGTCATTGGTTATAGGCTGCCCTAGCAGAGTATAAGGTGGTCTAACTTCTTGGGTGAGGGAACTCCCAGTAGGCCAAGGGCATTTCTCTGCACTGGAAGGGTACACTTATGTGCTTATGAGCATTTTAGCAGCCAACACTCAGGGCAGCTGGAAGATGGGTTCACCTACCTAGCAAAGGGGACCTGGGAGGGGCATCAACAATGTCCACAACATTGGAAGGCTTGGGAGGCATGGATCTGTGGTGGTCATGGACGTGAAAATGGACGTAAGGCAGATGGGATTGGTGCTGATGGTGTCTGAGCTGGATTTGCTAGTTGCCCTTCCACATCTCTTCCAACATGCCCCTCCAACATGCCTGGTGTCCCAGGAGCCTGACCTCTATGGTTCCATTGCCTGGACTTCTTCACCCTCTGATTTCCAGTTGCCACTGGGACATGCCAGCAAGAGATGGCAGGGTGAGACAAGGTCTGGGTCCTTAAAATCTTTGCTTCCTCCAGGCCACAGTTGGACACTGGCTGCATTCTCTTTGAGGCCAGAGCCCTTGTCCTGCAGGGTCTTTCCTATTGCTGAGCTCTTGTTGGCTCCCTAACAGGTCCCCACCATCCCTTGATGGTTCCCCTAACTCTCCCCACACCTTTGTGAACAGTCCCTTCAGCTAACCCTCTAATTACTCCTTTGAGTGTCCTGTGAGGAGAAAGGGGATAATCAGTTCTCTCTTAGGCCAGCGCTTCTCAAGCTTTACCATTCATGCCCGCCACCTGGGCATCCTGTTAGATGCAGATCCTGATTCAGCAGTCCTGGGGTGCGGCCTGAGATTGTGTACTTGCTTGCAGTGCCTGGGCTACCGGGGCAGGAGCCACACTTTGAATAGTGAGGTCCTGGGTGTTTCGTTGCAGTGAAGTGAGTGGTCTCTGGTTGGGGCAAGGAAGAGGGAAGTAGGGAGGGAGGAGGGGCAAGAGTGCCACAAACTTCCCTAAAATCCTGCTGCAGGAGGTAACATAGCTGAGAGTTAGGTTTAGAAAGGACAGTCTTAGATCTTAGATATAGTATTATAGTATTAAGACATTAGTTTCAAGATTACTAGAGAATTTTTTTTTTTTTTTTTTTTTTTAGATGGAGCCTTGCTCTGTCCCCCCAGACTGGAGTGCAGTAGCATGATCTCAGTTCACTGCAACCTCCACCTCCCGGTTCAAGCAGTTCTCCTGCCAGAGTAGCTGGTACTACAAGCGTGCACTACCACGCCCAGCTAATTTTTGTATTTTTAGTACAGAAAAGGTTTCACCATGTTGGCCAGGCTGGTCTCGAACTCCTGACCTCAAGTGATCTGCCTGCCTCAGCCTCCCAATGTGCTGGGATTACCAGTGTGAGCCACTGTGCCCAGTGAGATTTTTTTTTTTTTTTTAAACCATGGTGCAGTAGCCTAGAAATAAAATACATTCAGCAACTGTTGGGGCAATAATTATTTATTTTAAATATCTCAGAAGCTTTGTGTTAATAGAACCCCCTCCCCCAATTTTCATGAGCATTAAACATTCACCATTCTCAAAACATGCATGACATACAATTTAGATTTATATTTTAATCATTCCCTTTCAACATGCAGTTTTAGATTCTATAACATTAATTTAGAGGCTACCACACCAATAAGATCTTAAAAACCGATGTGTTGGGTTTATTTCACAGTTCATGTCTACAAATAAAACATTTACATGTATTGATAATTTGTAATAAATTTATTAATACATGTGTATTAATATTGCCTATTTATTTGTTGGTATAAATTCAATGTTTTGGGTTATTCCATAATAATAGTTACTAACACAGTCCCAATGCTGGAACAGAGGTTATTTTATATAGTTAAAAATAGAAAAGTTATCTTGCAGTAGATTAGGATCTAATTTATAAATATATACAGTCTCTGGCTTTTATTCTATTATGTTTTGCTTTGGCTACATGCAGAAAGCATTTTATTCCTATTGTTCTTGACTTCATCTGATGCATAGGTATTCTAGTTGGTGTCTTCAGGCTTTATTTTACCCAACTATGGGGACTAAGATCTTCGATTATGCTGCTTTTCTTTATGGCTACTTCACCTAGTATTTTTCCAAAGCTTGCTGAAAAGAGGTGGCAGGGTAGAAAGCATGTTGTGAATTCTTTTTTCCTTAGGTAAAACACCACCAACAATTTTTCAATCATAAAAAAGATCAGGATTTCCCTCTACCACACAAAAACACTTAGACTCCTATGGTGTCTCAAAATAAATGTATTGTGTTCACCTTTTACCACTGGTAACTATTTCCAAGAAGGTGATTCATATTAGAAAAATATAACATGTTTCATTTCTGTGCCAACATACAGGAGACTATTGCAGGTGGCATTTGGGCAGCTTCAAATGCCACCTCAGCTGCACACAGCCATGCCTGACTTCCACACAACACACACACCACATACTCATCTTCTGTGCCTTTAGGAGTTCAGCTGGCCTTGAAGTTCACATTTGAGCTTATTATAAACCAATAGGCTCTCAAACTTGAGTGCACATCAAAATCACCTGGAGGGCTTGTTAAAAACACAGAGAACTGGGCCCTACTCCCAGGGTTCCTGTTTCCTGAGTCTAGGGTGGGACTAGAGAATTTGCATCTCCAACAAATTCCCAGGTGATGCTGATGCTACTGGTCTGAGGACCACACTTGGAGAACCACTGCCATAAACCATACTGGCTGAGCCACCCTAAGAAATGATTTAGATGCCATGAAATGGGTTGCCCAACAGACAGGATGGATTCTGTTTCCACAGAGCTCCCGGTTTCCACACTAGAGAACAGATCAGCACAGATCATTTCACACTCTTTTACAGATTCTTCTGCTTCTCCATCAAATATGTGCCCATACTTGATATCCTGGTGTTCGGCCCTCTGAAAACATTTCTTTTTTTTTTTTCTCCCGTGTCATTCCCTCTTACTGGAGTTCACAGAAATGGTTAATCCTGAGAGAGGAAACCAAGGACTGAGTTTTGTTAGTCCTGGCAAAAATTCCAAGACATTCCTAGGCACAGACTGGTCAAGGACAACTAGGCCACTGCTTCTGAGAGGAAATGGTACTTACTGGTACAAAGCTAACTTTGTTTTTAAAAAATAATAGCAAATCCTTAACCAGGAAAGATTGAAAATAAAATATAATAAATGATAGGCTGTCCCACAAAATGGAGGGAACAGAGGGGGATGTGTGTTTCTTCATTCCTCACCTCCCCCAATAAAATGTCAGTCTTAAATTTCCTCTAATTTCAAGAAACAATGAAAAAAGAAACCTCAGAGCTTCTGGACTGTGTCCTGGCTCTTGGTTCATCTGCCCTCAGCAACATCACAACATTAAAAGGAAACAACCCATTATTCTTCCATATTCCTCTCCCAATAATTCAATATCCATGTCCTAAATAATACTGCTCTCATACACTTGGTTTATCATGACTATTTATAAATCAGGGCTGAGCTTGGAAATCCTTTCTCAAAAAGTATATGTCATTGCCAATGAATCTAGCCAGTTGTGGGCAAAGGGAGGGCGCGATCACCTGTGAGGTCAAGGAATCTTGACCAGGCTCTGGTCAACATGGTGAAACTCCATTTCTACTAAAATATACAAAAAAAATTAGCCGGGCATGTGTGCATGCCTGTAATCCCAGCTACTTGGGAAGCTGAGGCAGGAGATTGCTTGAACTTGGGAGCAGAGCGTTGCAGGGACTCAGATTTGTGCCACTGCACTCCAGTCTGGGCAAAGCATGAGACTCCATCTCAAAAAAAAAAAAAAAAAAAACAATTTAATGAAAAATAGAGAATAATTACTTGTGATTGAAGGAAGAGTCCGATTTTCAACTCACACTGGAAACAGGCCCAAGCACAGTTGGGATTAGTGTAGTCAATTCACGGCAGATGGTGAAGACACTGATGTGAGCTGATTGATGGCCACCAAAGCCCTCCGCTGCCCTTCCCAGGCTGCTCCGCCAGAGACATTTTCTTCAGTCCTATAAAACAAAAGGGCTGGAGGAAAACAGATGAGCCCCCCAGTCAACGCTGCGTCTGTCTTAGTAAATTATCAGTGGTGATGTGGTCACAGTTATTTTCCTTCCAGTGCTTTGCGGGGGCGGAACCCACTCCGAAGGTGCCTAGACCTTCTCCATCTCCGATCTGCTGGTGGTAGTGCCGAGCCTGCCGTCGCCAACATTCAGTTGTACACCAGCTCTTGTGCTGGTACCTGGCGTAGCCCCACACCATCCCCACACCTGCCAGGAGCAGCAGTAGGCACAGGACGGTGACAATGTGGCGATCACAGGCGCCTCTACTGAGGCCAGGACCCCCCACACAGGGACTCCAAGGTGCGAGAAGCTCTCGCTTGTACCGGCCCGGGGCGCCTTCATGGTCCAAAGGACGTCTTCAGACAGCAGGTTATGGGAAGCTGTCTGGATTCAGGAGCAGGCTGGTTTCTCCTGGAGGCTGGGTGGTCGTGCCATGATCGTTGAGGGGGATGTGGTTAGGTGTCTGCTTGACAGTGGTCGCTGTTAATATCTCCAGGGTGGAGCTGGTAAGCTCATAGGGCAGGGTGGCCATCGGAGACGCCTCTGTGGTGAATCTCCAGGATAGAGTTGACTGGTACTTGGTCAAGTCACCATCCCCATTGCCCTCAGTCTCGGACACACTCACGGGTCTGAGCGCCAAAGATTCCACATCTAGCATTTGAGATGGAAGAACTGAACTATGGGTCATGCCCTCGCTTGGTGTGAGGGTGCTACTCCAGGGCTTCTTAACTTCCACAAGAATGGGCTGATCAGGAGTAAGTAGGATGTTTTCATCTAGTCCTACTGACCCATCCCCTCTGTCCCCATCTTCTTCCTCTTCTGCCTCTGTCTTCCTCCAAGCCCCATCTGTCACAGGGTAGCCATCTAACCAGGACTCATCACTGCTGCTCACCACTGGATCCCCTGCCTTGCTATCAGTCTTGCCCACAAATGGCCCCAAGGGACCATCCGTGTTGTCATAGATCACCTTAGTTTCAGGTTCACCTGGGACCAATTTTACACCACTGTGGTTGTCTCCAGCAGAAAACTGCTTTTTGGTGTCATCATCCACCTCCTTTTCCAACCCAGGCTTGTGGAAAGCCTCAGCAGGAAACCAGAACAAGTGCTTCTGGAGCAGCCGCGATCCTGGCGAGTCTGCAGAGACACTGCTCCCAGCGCCAGGCAAGCCTGTGGTTGGCACAAAGCCTTTATCCTGGGCTATGTTTTCTCTCCCCACAGAAATGGAGACCAGATGGTCCTGTTTTGGAGCCTTCTCAGACGAGTCTCCCTGACTCCTGTCCTCTTCTGCCTCTGTCCGGGAATCCTCCATGAGCTCTCTGAATGACACAGATCTGTCATCAGGGAAGTTATCTTCATAGTCAATGTGTGCCTCAGCCTCATCTGGAAGGAAAGAGGGAAAAACCTCATTAGCTCCAAAGGCACAGAGCCAGTATAGAACACAAGAAAAGGAAATTAAAAGCATAAGGGCTGGCACAGAATAAATAATACTGTTATTATTCACAGATGATATGACTGCGTATCATAGATAAACCCAAAGAATCTACATATGAACATTACAATGAACTACAATTAACATCTGAGCTTAGACCGGGCATGATGGCTCACACCTGTAATCCCAGCTCTTTGGGAGGTCCAGGCAGGTGGATCACTTGAAGCCAGGAGTTCGAGACCAGCCTGGTCAACATGGCGAACCCCCATCTCTAATAAAATACCAAAAAAATAGCCAGGCATAGTGGCATATGCATGTAATCCCAGCTATTCAGGAGGATGAGACATGAGAATTGCTTGAACCCAGAAGGTGGAGGTTGCAGTGAGCCAAGATCACATCACTGCACTCCAGCCTGGGTGATAGAGTGAGACTCAAAAACAAAAACAACAACTCAAAAACAACAACAACAAAAAACATGTGACTTTATTAGGGATACTAGGTCTACAGTAAATATAAACATCAATTGAATTTCTAAATCTTGTCAATAAATAGAAAATTAAAATTTAAAAGGATGCCATTTACAATAACATTAAAAAAACCAAACACATAGGAATAAATCTAACAAAAGATGTGCAAGACTTCTACATGGAATGATATAAGACATTGCTGAGCAAAATTAAAGAAGACTTAAATGAATGGAGGAATAGATCATGATCATGTAGCAGAAGGCTCAAGATTGCTAAGTTGGCAATTCTGTCCAAATTGATCTATATAGATCTAATACAATTCTAATAAAAAATCTCAGACATTAACTGAATGCTAAAGTTTATGGAAATGCAATGAACCAAGAATAGACAAGGCAATATTGAAAAACAAGAAAAAGCTGGAAGACATATGCAAAACATTTCAAGATTTACTATAAAACTGAATTACCTTTTAAGGCTGTGGTATTGGCACAAGGACAGATAATTAGATTACATTAAAATTAAGATCTTCTGTTCATTAAAAGCTACCACGAAGAGAGTTACAATGCAAGGCAGAGTTAGAGAAGATATCTGCAACACATATAACTCCAAAGGGCTCGTATCCAGAATTTAAAAAGGACTCCCACAAATCTATACTAAGTAGATAGACAAACCATAGAAAAATTGGCAAGATATTTGAATTGGCACATCATCAGAAACATATCAGACTAGTTATTAAACGTGGAAAGAAGCTCAACCTCACTAGTAAGATAGTCATAATGAGATACCATTGCATAGCACCAGAATGGCTAAAATTAAACAGATCGACAATATCAAATGTTAACTAGGATATACAGCACTGTTAGTGGGAGTGTGAACTGGAACAACCACGATGGAAAACTGTTTGTGCATCTCTACTAAAATTGAACATATGGATGCTCCATGATACAGCAATTCCACTCCTAAATATACACTTAACAGTAATGTGTGCATATGGGCACCAAAAGACATGCCTAAGAATGTTCATAATCGTAAAAAACTGGAAGCAATTCGAGTGTCCATTAACTGCAGAACCGGTACATCAATTACAGGATACTCAAACAATGCAAATCCGTACATCAATAAACATGAACCAACCACTGCTTCCCACAACAAAACAGATGAATTGCATGGCCATAATGCTAAGCCAGGCACAAAAGAGCACACTCTGTGTTGATTCTATTTATATAAAGTTAAAAAATAGGCGGAATTAATCTATGGATGTCGAAACTCAGGATGGTGGTTACACTTGGGTAAGAGAGAAGGAGTGATGACTGGGTCTGGTACAAACAGGACTTTTAGGGTGCTGGCAATATTTGATTTCTTCACTGTGTCAAGGCCTAAATATCTGTGTTTATGCTTGATAAACACTTGGTTTGTTGCCTTATGATTGTATGTATTTTATAATTAAGTTAAAAATGCATCTTTTTTTTTTTTTTAAGACAGAGTCTCTCTCTGTCTCCTAGGCTGGAGTGCAATGGCGCAATCTCGGCTCACTGCAACCTCCACCTCCCGAGTTCAAGCGATTCTCCTGCCTCAGCCTCCCGAGTAGCTGGGATTACAGGTGCACACCACCACGCCCAGGTAATTTTTGTATTTTTAGTAGAGACAGGGTTTCACCATGTTGGTCAGGCTGGTCTCAAATTCCTGACTGCATGATCCGCCCATCTCGGCCTCCCAAAGTGCTGGGATTACAGTCATGAGTCACCACGCCCGGCCCCCAATGCATCTTTTAAAACACTGATTTGTTCTTTGTAAAACTTCCAAGTCATGGGATGATGCTGTAAAGTATTCTGAATCCAACTGAATAAGATTCAATAGAGCCCCACAACTAGGAGCCCAGAATGTAAGGACAGTCCGACGAGAGGGGAATCAACTGGTCAGGAAAGCTCAAGAAGCTGGTGTCCTCAGAAGACAGCAGCAGCCCTTTGAGCTTCCCCTCTCTCAATGGTCTTTGAAAGCCAAGTCCTGCTGGAAGATACACTTAAATTATTAAAACAGACTGGTTCTCCCACTTAACTTTCAACTTTGGAAGAACAAAATGCACAGAGCTCCAGAGTCAAGGTCTAGATGGAATGCTGAGGTGTCACGCGGTGCACTCCTGGGTTCTGAAACTAGATTCGTGGGTATCTGGCTTATTTCTAAAGGCTATTAAGAGAATAAGACTCTGTATCTTGCTTATTTAATGACTGACAGAGTTATACATAAAATTTAACAATCTTTTCTGATCTGCTCCTGAAATGTAAGCCCATTCACTTTACATGTGTCCTCAGTCAGAAAAGGGAAACAGTGGATGAAGAGCAAACATCACTGATAAATATCAAAAGCATGTGTGTTTTATGCTTAGAAAAGGATGGCCAATGATTATACCCCATTGTGTCCTGTTCACAAAACCTCAGACAAAAAACACATCAGATGGCTGGACCATTCTTATCAGCCTTGTAGAATTCAAATACAGGCTCCCAGTGATCAACCAGGCGCCTCCCTTCACATTCCCTGTTATATCTTCATTTCAAATTCTGCACTGACCCGCTCCTTCATTCAACAGACCTCACTGAGTGCTGACTATGTGCTAGAGCTTGGGATCACTGGTGAATAGGATAAATACTCCCTTCCCCCTTGGAGCATATGGGACAGAATCTCTCTTGCATCCTATAGGATTGAACTTCAATGATTTTGTGTGCACAAATTTTCACCCAATATTCTGAACGAACATCAGGTTTTGCATTGAAGTACTGTCCTTCCTTCAAAAACAACAAAATGAAATGAATGTCACTATGACAGAACTTTTCTCTGCAATTTACCCAAAACATATAGACAAGTCACACTGAGATTTAAGGTCATGACTTGTATCTTTGACCTCAGGATAAGGGGATTAGATTGCTTATGCACATGTGTGTCCTTACTGGCTGTGGAAGACAGATTGCAGTAATGGCCACAAATCTCCACTTTTTCCTGCATCAAGTCCTTTTGCAATGTGCCTTTGCACGACTTCCCATGAAAAGTTTGGGCCTGTTTTTCCATCTCTAGAATCTGGGCTGACCTCGTCCTTTGTTTTGACCTACTGAATGCAATGAAAGTGTTGCATGCCTTTGCTCTCTGCCTTGGAGCCCTGCCAGCGGCCATGTGAACAAACTGGGATGCTGAAAGATAAAAGACCCCATGAAGGAGAGGCAAACGTCCCAACGGAGGCCACCCTAGATCAGTCAGCTCTGGCTGACCACATTCACCTGAGTGAGCCCAGCCCAAACTGCTGACTCAAAGAACTGGAGCAGAGTAAATGATTGTTGTTTCATGCCACTAAGCTTTTTGAGGATGGTCTATTATGCAGAAAAAGCTAACTGACACACTAGCAATAGTAATGAGCTGCTTGCGGGGCAGGGCCCAAGGCACTGTGTCCCTAAAGTACAACAGTGCTTATCTACTATAGGTATTCTTATAGGTATTCTTGAGTGAGTGAAAAAGCTGCTGGCGGGGCAGGGCCCAAGGCACTGTGTCCCTAAAGTACAACAGTGCTTATCTACTATAGGTATTCTTATAGGTATTCTTGAGTGAGTGAAAAAGTAAATGGTTCCGGGAGGAAAATGGGGAAAATCTGCAACAGCTCAGATCCCAAGCTTCTCTTCATCCCTACCTTAAAACTGTTCCGCACTGAGATCCATTTCCAGGAGCACAGTCTCCCAAAACACAAGAGGACTATAGGCCCACTTCTAAATTACACGGAATGAATTACTTGTACCCATAGTCTCTCATAACACCCCAAAGACCCTCTGAAAAGACGCCATTGTTGAAGGACCAATTGAATACAAAAACACACACGGGTGTGCACCACATACATGCACACAACACACACCCTCACATACTGGTGAGCAAATCGCTGTCACAGCCTAGCTGGTGAGAGCATCTCTTCTCATCCCAGCCTCTCCTTGGTGCCCATATTCTTACCATTTAAAACGGTAGCCTAGAAGAACTTCCTCCCCACTGCTAGTCAGTTTCAAGCAGAGTGGTGATCCTGCTCCATCAAAGTTTGCTCCGAATGCATAGAAACTTGGCATTCCACATGTCTGACCGGTCATTTTTGCCCCAAATCTGCCCCAACCAATTTGGTTTTAATTAAAGAAAATAATATATTCTGCGGTACTGCAGAAGAAATTATCTTTGCGAAACAATACACATTTGCCAGTTGTCTCCTAGAGGTTCTGCTGTTGAGGATGAATATCCCTGTCCTCAGCCAGAACCCAGCTCCCTTTCATGAGGGGATAAGGTAGGAAGCGGTAACTCTCCAAGATCATTTTTCCTCAAGAAGCTTCCACCCACTTGAAAGCATAGGCCGCACTTCATGCACCAGCTGTAATGCCAGGCCTCTTTCCACATGTTATTTTACTATGGAATATTTTTTGTTGCCTCACTGCAGTCCCAAGACATCAAACCGTGAAGGACCCCAGATT